AGGTTTTTTTTTAATTTATTCACTCATGGGACATAAGCATTGCTGGCTAGCCAGCATTTATTGCCCATCCTTAGTTGCCCTTCAGAACGCGGAGGTGAGCTGCCTTCTTGAACCTCTGCAGTCCACATACTGTAGGCTGATCAACAATGCCCTTAGGGAGAGAATTGTAGGGGATTGACCCAGCAGCAATAAAGGAATGGTAATATATTTCCTAAGTGGTTTGGAGGAGAACTTACAGGTGGTAGTGTTCCGATGTATTTGCTGTCCTTGTCTGAGATGAAAGTGGTCATGGGTTTGGAAGGAGCTGTCCAAGGATCTTTGATGAATTTCTGCGTGCATCTTGTAGTTGGTACACACTGCTGTCACTGAGTGTTGGTGATGGAGGAAGTGGATGCTTGCGGATGGGATGCCAGTCAAGCAGGCTGCTTTGTCCTGGTTGATGTCAAGTTTCTTGAGTGTTGTTTGAGCTGAACTCATCCAGGTAAGTTTGGTGTATTTCATCACATTCCTGACTTGTACCTTGTAGCTGGTGGACAGGATTTGGGGGAGACAGGAGATGAGTTACCAGGTACAGTATTCATAGCCTCTGACCTGCTCTTGTAGCCACTGTGTTCATGTGGTGAGTCCATTGAGATTCTAATAAATGGTAACCCCCACAATGTTAATAGTGGAGGATTCAGTAATGGTAATGCCATTGAATGTCAAGGGGCAGTGGATAGGCTGTCTCTTACTCGAGGTGGTCGTTGGCTGGCACTTGTACGGCATGTATGTTGCTTGTCATTTGTCAGCCCAAGCCTGGATGTTGTCCAGATCTTGTTACATTTGAACATGGATTGCTTCAATATCTGAGGTGTTGGAAATGGTGCTGAGCATTGGCAAACATCCCCGCTTCAGTCCTTATGATGGAGGGAAAATTATTGAAGTGGCTGCAGATGATTGTGTCTACGACACTACCTTGACGAACTCCTGCAGAGATGTCCTGGGAGCTGAGATGATTGATCTCCCGCAACAAGTGCCATCTTCCTACGTGCCAGGTATGACTCCAACCAGCAGAGAGTTTGCCCCTAATGCTCATTGATTCCAGTTTTGCTACGGCTCTTTGATGTCACACATGGTCAAATGCGTCCTTGATGTCAAGGGCTGTCACTCTCACCTCACCTCTGGAATTCAGCTCTTTTGTCCGTGTTTGAACCAAGGCTGTAATGAAGTCAGGAGCTGAGCGGTGCTGACGGAGCCCCAAACTAGCATTACTGAGCAGGTTATTGCTGATAGGTGCTGCTTGATAGTACTCTTAATGACGCCTTCCATCACTTTGCTGATGATTGAGAGTAGACTGATGGGGCAGTAATTGTCTGGGTTGGATTTGTCTTGCTTTTTGTATAAGACATACATTTTCACATTGTTGGATAGATGCCAGTATTGTAACTGTACTGGAACAGCTTGGCTAGGGGAGCAGAAATTCTGAAGCACAAGTTTTCGGTACTATTGCCGGAATTTGTCAGGACCCACAGCCTTTGGAGCCTCCGGTCATACTAATCTGAAATTGCCCAATCTCAACTGATGTCGGAAGCTAAGTAAATTCAGGCCTGGTTAGTACTTGGATGGGAGACTGCCTGGGAATACAAAGTGCATTAGGCTTTAAAAGGTGGTGGCATGGTGGCTCAGTGGTTAGCACTGCAGCTTCACAGCGTCAGGGACCAGGTTCAATTCCACCCTCTGGCGACTGTCTGTGTGGAGTTTGCACATTCTCTCCGTGTCTGCATGGGTTTCCTCCATGTGCTCCAATTCCTTCCCACGGTCCAAAGATGCACAGGTTAGGTGGATTGGTCATGCTAAATTGCCCTTTGTGTCCAGGGATGTGCAAGCTGGGTGGATTAACAATGTGAAATGCAGGGTTAAGGGATAGGGTAGGGAAGTGGGTCTGGTGGGATGCTCTTCGGAGGTTCAATGTGGACTTGATAGGCCAAATCGTCTGCTTCCACACTGTAGGAATTTTTTTCCATTCTATATCCACTACCTCCAACCAATTCTTGATATCTTGTGGAATGAATCAAATTGGCTGAAGACTGGTATCTGTGATTACAGGGACATTGGGTGGAGGCCAAGATGGATCATCCAATTGGCATTTCTGGCTGAAGATTGCTATGAATGCTTTAGCCTTACCTTTTGCATGAATGTGTTAGGCTCTTCCATTATTGACAATGAGGATATTTGGAGAGCCTCCTCCTCCAGTGAGTTGCTTAATTATCCATTCAGGGTTGGATCT